TCATCGAAACCCTTTAGGGCAAGGATTAACTTTTGTTCTGCTATGTTTGTACAGCACCACACACAATGCTGCATGGTCTTCTGTAGCACAGTCCTCACAATCCTCTGAAGACCATAGTCACAGCTGAGTTTCCTTAGATGTCCCTGTGTGTACTGTTGATTTCTTACTAAGGAATAGTCAGAAATAGATGCCACAGTACCTTTGTGTTGCATTAAAACTATACTTCATTCTGGGTACTAGCTTCTGTCCTCAAGGGGTGTAAATCAGCATGGCCATGTGGTTCTTTGGTAGGGCATAAGCAGTTTCTGGCAGCTGAGCCTGGGAGATTTAGAGACAGGGGAGTATGGAAAGCAAGTGGGAGACATATCCTTTTCACCACAAAGACTGCTTTCTCCACCACATGCTTCATGGTGTTCTTTCCATGGGACAAAGTATTCAGGAGAAGGACATTACAGTAAGCAGAGAACAATGTGATCTAGGAGTTAATAAAACACTCAGGAGGTACCCTTCCTACGTAACGCCTTGGACTATGCTGTTTGGTTAGATAGTAGCCGCTGGGCATGCAAGAGTCTCTTTCTAAGATTAATCTTCCTGAGAGAAATGCAGAGTAATTGAGAGAGGTGCCATCCCAGACATAAGCATGGAAGCACACATGAAGATGGGATTGGGGGTGGTATACATGTGGAGAAATAAGACAGCAGATGAAGGAATTGGCAGGCTTCTAGTTACATGCTTAGTTTAGTGGAAATGAGAAGGAAAAGTCTTCTGTTTTTCCTCTTAGTATTCCATCCCCATGGCCTATATTTATCATCTAGGACTTGAACAGCAAGAGGAAAAATTTGCATTGCAGTAAAAATAAACTGGCTTTTTTGTTATTGACTATTTTTATCAAATGTTTAAAATGAAGCATTGCAAAAAAATGAAAATCATACCCATTCTTTTGCCAATTTCAATACAGATAGAGATGGGATGAACTATTTTTAACAAAAATAAACACCCCTCTTTGAGGTCTTCCTCTGAATTTCATACCAGGACCCTTTGTGTTCCCTGGCGTGAGTGTTTGATCCAAAAATACGCAAAGATCTGCCAAACCACTAACTACAACTGAGAAAAAGTTGAGTAAGAATGGAGCCAAAAAAAGTCGTGTGTGTGGCTTTTCCTGAGAAGTTAGATCACTTTTACATTTTTCAAATATGTAAATATATTTTTAAGCATGACTTAATGTTGCTTGTCAAGGGAAAGTGCACAGGTAAAGAAAAGGGATATAGATGAGACCAGTAAAATGGCGTAAGAGATAGAACACAGAGAATGGGACGGGGAAGTGAAACTCATCCTTTCCATCTTCATTCTGAGAAAAAATGATGGTTTTATGGTTCTTGGTGGAATTATCCTGTAAAACCCCACAACGTGATATGTGAACAAACCACAAGTTTTAGAGCATTACTAAGAGGATCTGACACTTCCAGTACTAATGTGCACAGCAAGACTTGATATGGGAAGAACTGGACAACCGTGTATCAGGATGGGGTATAAACCCATGACATCTAACAGCTGAAGTCTTCCAAACAAGAGGTCTTTCAAGAGTGCATCCATGTGGCAGAAGTTCATCTGGACAAGAAAAGGGGCTGCAGGTTGGAAGAGAAATGGGGAACTGGTAGTCTTAATGTTGCAAGTAGGTATGCATTGCTCAGCAGCCAAAGCCAATGCATTTTCTTTTGACCCCAGCTGGAAGAAAAAGGAGTACTGCAGCTCTAAGGAATTATGACTACTTCTACCAATATGCCTTATTTCTAGGAGGGTTCCCAAAGAGAGAATTGCAAAACTGTCAAAGAGAGAGGACTATGAGAAAAAAATGAAGGGGAAAAAAGAGGTGTTACCTTGAACAAAACCTACTTGTGAAGGTGTAGCCATGTGGATTTTATGGCATCTAAGGACATAAGCCCAGAGTGCAGGATGAAATACATGTTAAATTCTGTACATGTCTTTTGATGTGCAGATATTTGTCTTTTAGTTATCTGGCCTAGAATAAGTGAAAGTGGTCTTTCTTCTTTGTGACACATGAGGAGGTCCTGAAAGGCACCATAAAACGGTGACTGATGGTAGGATGCCATTTCCAGCATGTGGTACTTCTGTTTCTTTCTTTTACTTAAATGACGCTCTTTTCTTAAACTCAAGAGTTTTTTGTCATGCTCCCTCTCAGTGACCCAAATATTGCTTTGTGTCATGGTCTGGATGTGACATTCTGTGGACAGTATTCTCTCAAATAGCTTCAGCTGTGTCTACTCCTCATTCAGCCAGCAGAGAGATAGAGGAAAGTGTTTTCACATGAAAAGTACCACAGAGGACATCATTGCATAGAGGTGTTTTAAGCATGGAAAGTTTGTGCTAGGGTCCTAATCTGCACAGTCTTTCATTGGGAATCAGGTCTTTGTCTTCTGTTTGTGTAAGATAATTTGTCCTGAACTACGAGTATTCCACACAAACATTCCAAACAGAAAAAAATTGAAACAAGCTGGGGAGGCAGACTTATTTTCTGGTACAGCATGAACGCCAACCTTATCTGGATGAAACAAGCCAGAGATTAAATTTAGACCCACAAAAGGATGGTGAATATCAAACATTTCTGCAAGGTTTGGATAAGCTTCATTTGTTTGGATTTTTATCTGTTCTGTATGCAAAAATAGTTTTTCTCTACAAACAGAAATGTTCCCAAACTCTTTTCTTCTCTACCAAACCTAAGCATTAGACCTAGAGACTGCTGACCTTCCTCGCCGTCTCCCTTTCCTCTGCAAGGCTTCCCTATCAACCCAGAAATCTGAGCTCTCCGCAGCTTCCTGTTTTCCACAGTTGCCTTCTTACTTCCATGGTATTTTCTGAAGCATACCTCACCACAGCTGGTGTCATTTCTACTAGGGAAAATATTTTTTTTTCTATTCTGTTCCTGGATCTCTAGATTCAGAGACTCAACCTGTATGGAGAATTCCCCTGGGAAGCCTGTTATGGTCAGTCAGTCCTCCACATTCAGTTAGCAAGGCAAAAGAATCTTCTGTGTTTGGTAAGAGTTTGGTATTCCAGAAGAAAGTGATTTGTAATTGCACTGTAACTCCCTTGTCCAGCCATAGTAAAAAATGTAGCACAGGAAGAAGGAAAAAATTTTCCTTGTCTGCCCCATGCCCTTGATTGCAAGTAGGTTAATCTGAAAAGCAGATTTCACTGATATGTTGCCATTGTTGTGCTCAATGTACAAAAAAGCGTTAATTAAATGAATGGAAAACAAATTATTACAGAAAGTGTTTGCTTTGTTAAGTAATGCTGTAGGTTTTTCTGCTTCATTTTCAGTATAAGGGACCCAACTTGACACGAGTGGGTAGCAAGTCCGTGGATGCTCATACAGACAGCAGGTTTCCCTGACATATTGCTCTTGCCAGCAGATGACAGTGGGAACGAAGTGTTCCTGGGATTATTTTACAAGGACCAAATCCCTTTGGTTTTGCAGGGTGGAAAAATGGCCTCTCCTCCAAACCGGTCTCCCAGGTTGCCCATGGGAAAAAAGAGACACTTCATGATGGTAATTTCTCCTGCTGCAAGGTCTGGTCAATGTCTGATGGAAATCTGGGGGAGCTCTTGGAAAAACCCAGGACAGCAGAGGACATAGGACTGCTACCAGATAAAGCCTGGACAGCAAAGTCCTGGGGTACCCATGGATAAATCCTTTTCCAAGGAGATGGATCCAGGTTGTGGCTTCCACCTCTGGCTGCTGAGGTTGTTCTTTATGCATCTCTGCTCTAACTGGTCTTCGCCTTCCTGCCTGGCTCTTCCTCCCTTTGTTTACTCACCTGTGAGATAGATTGTCCACAGGCCAGGCTGCGTGCTTGGGTTGTTTGCATGGTGCCTAGTACAGCCATGTGCTAATCCTTGTTTGGGGTAGCTGCACACGAATGCAGGGGTGATGGTAATCCTCTCCTTCCATCACCAAATACAATGGCTGGCACTACGACAGCCAGCTGATTGGTGTATTGAGTTTTGTAATAGAGAGCAAACAAAAAACAGAGGTGAGCAAGGACATGGCAGCTGGTGCCCTGGCTAAGCAGAAAGGCCTTCAAAAAGAGAGAGCCTGTATTTCCTACTGGTGAGGAATGGAAGGAGAATGAGATCCCAGGAAAAAGGGATGGTGGTAATACTGTGCCACTTAGGGCACAAAAGAGAGCTTTCTCTTTTGTGAGCTACTTGTGTCGGCTACTATTAGGCTCATGCAGTACCGTAAGTCCTCAGAGCAGGGGCTGTGTCCCTGGGGCAGTGCAGCATTTAGATATAACCCAATGGCATGGGCTCTGTCACAAACATAGACTGAGTATATGAGAATGAGCTGCTGAAGAAAGAAAGAAAAAATCACAGTAAATTCTCCTGGTAGGTTGTGCTTATGCCAGGAATTGTGAGCATTTCAGCATGAGTGCATGAGCACTTTGAGGCAGCTGGTCAGTTTGTGGTGATGGAATTGGGTTACTATGCTGGTCTGTACCTCTGAAGCACGTGGGGTTCTGGGGTCTTATGAGAACATCTATGTGCAATCATACTGTGAGCTGGACAGAGATTCAATTCCCATTGCTTCACAGGGCCAATTGCAGGGAGTAAGACCAAAGCACAGCTTGGATTCCCAGATTCAGTCTGCATCCTGTGCCACAGCTGATGTGCCCTCTGGTGAAATGCAGTGTGGAATGATGCCATGATGTAGGTGAGGATTTCGGAGGGGGTCTCCAGGGAACAGACAGTGACATTGTTCTGTCTCAGCCTGCCCAGGAGCCGTTCCACTGCACAGGTACAGTATATAGCATGCTGGATGTTAATTCAAATTTCATGTACATTTTGAAAGAGCTGAATGTGGCCTTTGTGTAACACTTTGGCTCACAAGGGCTTTTTCATAAGAAATTCTATTTAAATGGAATAGAAAACTTTCTGATAGTTACCAAACACCACAAAACAATGGCAGGCTATATCTGTTCATCATCATCAGCCATTCATTTATCCTAGGAAGGAATTTCTTGTTGATAATCCTGAGTGAAGGCTTGCTTGTTCGTATGACTGGATGAGATCCAGGAACGATAGCACCTTGCTGAAACCTTTAAGTGTCAAGCTGAAATTGCATCAGAAAAATAACGAAGCTGAGCCCCAATAGTGCCACTGGACCCTGTGGCTTGTGCTGCCCTGCCCAGGTGTGTGCCTCACCTTCTCTCACACATGCATTCCTGGGCAGTCAGGGCTACTGCCTCATACACTTTGCGTCAGAAAATGTTCCCCAGACTCTAACCTGGCTCTTCTTTATCTCATTCATTTTTATCCTATGACTGGAGAGGTGACAACCGGCTTGTTAAGCGGATGCTTTTCCCAACATGCAAACCAATGGTCACAGCCAACCTCATGAGAAAGGAGGGCAGCTCTGTGCAGCCATCTCGGTGCCAGACGCAGTTCAGGTTTCAGGTGCAAGCCTGCCTAAAAGAATGTAGTAAGAAAGGAAGGTTTCTTTCTTAATGCTGTTGGACATGGTCCAGGACTCTGTAGAAAAACCCCAAGTTAGATCCTGAAGGAATTAATGCATCAGCCAGCTCCAACAAAGCCTTCTAGGGAGGTGATAAGACTGCATAGTAAATATTTTACCAGGGGCTAGGCAGGAATATCTGAACTGCTCTGGGGCAAACAAGTGGCTGAGCCGGTATCAAGAGAACCCAGCAGAGCACCATGCTGAGTATGGTGTACAACCTTGTGTAACCCCAAGGAGCTGGCAACACTTGAGTGGCAATGTGTCCATCTTGCTGCAGGTGAGCAGCTGGGGATGTTCCAAGACTGCATGTACATTCCCTAGCTGCTGTCACAATGAATAGCATTCTCCTCTCTTGAGCTGACCTAGGCTTCCAGAAGAGCTCATGTTCTCCTCCTGGATGTTAAATGGTTTTGAAAACATTTTGTCACCTCTTAATGGGAACGATAACTTCTGATTACTTCAAAATGGGTGAGCTGAAAACGTGAGAATGCTTGCACTGCTTGCTTTCAGACAAAGGTGGGAAATGGGCAGGATAGGAACAGTGGGAACCAGGCAAGCATATTGTATAAAAAGGGCATGGGATCAACTGACAATTAATTAAAACCAGAATTATTAGTTGCCTAAGTGACTGCAACAGGATGGATTCCAAAGAACTCCTTCCTCACAAAGGGAAGCTCGACCTTGTTAGGCTGCCAGCACACCTCTGAATGAGGCAGTGAACTCATAGCTACTGATTGAAATGATTATTAAGGTGTTCTCAAAGCTTCCAGACGAAAAAAAAAAAATCTGTCAGGAAAAAGTAAGTGTAAAGGACTTAGGTGGATGATTACTCATGATTACTCCTAGATCAGACTTGGGGCTATGGGCATGCCTACAAGGTATTTTAAAGCCAGATAGAGATACACTATCTGAACTCTGAACTGATCAGGTGCCACAGGGTAGCACTGACCCTACAGTAACCTGAGCTTGGGTTTTTCAAGGTGATAACTCCTTTAATGCAGCTGCCACTCAGCTTCTGCATGCAGGTCTTGCACAGTGGCTGCTGCAAAGAGTGCAAAGTCATGGATGGATGTAGCCTGGAAGAGAAACTTAATTAATAATTACAAACAAGTAGTAGGCTTCTTGCTGAATCAGAACACAGGGAAAAGGGCACAATCAAGAGCACGTGAAAAGCAAACAAAAAAAAAGTGTCATGCAAGAGAAAAGAAATGTCAGAGCAGAGTTACTTGCAGCTTTAAGTCTCAGGAGAGTGAGTTGCTGGATGTCATCATGATCGATTGGAATGTCTGAAGATACAACAGCAAAGGTTAAATCGAAAAGTTAGAAAACTGTTGGAAGCTTGACAAAGACTTTCTTGCAGTGAGACTGCATTAAAGATGTAAAAGCAGATATCTCCCTGCTTCTCACAGCCAGCAGTGCTACAGCATCCTTTGGGGCGTGAAGCACATCAGTAGTTAAGGACTTAGGCCATATGTGAGGTTGGATGTTGTTTGGCACTTGATGTTGCCCCCTACACACATGCAAGGGGAGCAAGAAGAGAGGCGATGCACCCAGCCACTGCATCTGGCTACCTGCATGAAGGCTTGAATCTAACTCTTGGGGCATCCGGTGCTGCCAGCATGGCACCCTCTGCCAGCACAAAATGGCCTTTAAAGTGGGAAGGGAAATGAGTGTATAACACAAACAAACAAAAATCGGTTGACCAAGAATTCAGGCAGCGCAGCAGAACTGCACGCAAAGCTGAGTTTTGCCTCAACCACCAATTTACCTTGTCTTGAGGGCACTGGGATATGTTAAGAGGCATCCAGTGGCCACAGGCTCCAGCCGCCTGCAGCCAGGGCCCACGGCCGGCGCCAGCACTCGCTCCTCCTCGAGCCCGGCCCAATTGGCACAAGCTGCAGCCTTTGCTTCTTCCTCCCAGCCCCAGACAAGGCCTGAGCTTCCCAATGAAGCCTCTTAGAAACCAGTGGGGAAAATGCCGCTCACCCTCCGTGGCTGATTCCCAGAGGCTACGAGTGGTTGCATCCCCCAGCTACGGATGGTTAGCTTTTCAACCCAAGCTATCTTATCTCATGCTTGAGGCTTTGGAGAGCCTCAGTTCAACTCTTGGCGCCTCAGCCAGGAAGCTGGCTGCTTTGGATGTTCTCCAGCACTTATTTACAACACACATATGCAGCGTGGCCATTGATTTATACTCTGGGCAGCCTCCACCTCAAGGAGGCAGATTTAGAAGCAGCCTCGCTTCAAAGCCAGTGTGTGCTCTGCTCCATGCTGCACAGCGGAGCCCGCTCACATCTGGATGCGCAGAGCTAGGTGGCTGTGCTGGGATTTTGGGCGAACCCCCACAGCAGGATTAGAAGATCCCCGTCTCCTAAATCACAAGCCTCACAAGCACTGAGACTCTCCAGGCTTCGGCTGCTCTCTAACCACTGAAATCAAAAGGTGCTCCTAGACAGATTTAGGTTCCTAAGTTTAGGCCCCCATTTCCACAGCGTTGGCCCTTATGTTCTGAGCTCAAAGTATTTCTGCACGGTGACACTCCCTTCTATTCTGTCATCCTACCAGCTACTGAAACACACAGTCCATGTTACAACAGCTAAATCAAAGAATTAGTCTTTTCTTCCTCTTTCCATCTTTTACACATGGACTATTTTCATTCCAAGTCCCTCAGTCTCTTGCTGGAAGGAGGCTGCAAACCGCAGTCTGCTCCTTGCAAAAAGGGTGAAAGCCAGTGCTGAGGCTGAGCACGTTTTGTCTAGCTGGCTCCTGCCCTTGGCAGAAGCTAGACACCCTTTTCACCAGGCTCTTCTGCCTGGCGGCTCTGCCCCACCAGAACAAAGTCCACCCAGAGGCACCTCACACCTGCCTTCCTTCAGCAGATCTCCCTTTTCTTGGGCACATCAATCACCCTGTGGCATTTTCAAGGATCTGCCTGGTGCTGGGGAACAAAGGCTCGGCACCTTTGCTGCGTGTGAACTGGAGCCAGTGTTTTCATAACAAAAATAATTGTGTGCCCTGCTCAGAAGACCTGGCTAATGGCAGGTTCTGAGAACAGCACCTAAGTACCTGGTAGCCAAGATGTAATAAGGCTTGCTATACTTAGGCCCTTGCAGGCACTTCCAATTATGAAAATCTATTTTTGGACCTTTAGAACTGTCCTTTTTTAAAATTGTTCTTAGCAAAGAACCTCAGCCTTGGGTTATATATTTTTCTTACATTAAAATAAAAACCACCACTCATTGTTTTGCTTATTTTGGAGCAGTGCATTTGAAAAAAAAAAAAAAAAAACAAGTTTGCTGGTGGGAGAGCTATTTTTTGTGTTTCTGCAAGTAAAGAAAGGTGTGATTTATAACAGTGAAAGTCCTCAGAGGATGCAAACTTTCCTTCTCAAAAAAAAAATCAACAGTTCCAAGCATGTTTTCTGAGGCCTTTCAGAGAGGCGGCGGCAGGGCTTGAGGTCTCGCCTGCAGACAGAGGGCAGAGGACGCTCTGAGAAGGACATGTACCGCTGTGAATCACTGAAGGCTCCCTATGCTCTGTCTGGCCCCATCCTTTCTTTGAAGCAGTGCAAGGACCTGTTGCTGGTGTGTGTGGGGGGGCCATGTTTTACCCTTCACTTGATTTTTTGAGTCGATGAAAACCAGACAGAACAACTCCTTCTGACTTGAGAAGGAAGATGGGCACAAGAAGTCTAGAGCATTTGAGAAGTTGGGTTGCTTCCTAAAAAAAATTTAAATCTCTCTTTTTTTTTTTTTTTTCCTTTTTCCTTTATAACTCAACCAGTGAAGGCTGGGAAATGCATAGCCAAAGACTAGCTCAGCGCTGAGAGTTACCAAGCCAATTCTGCAGCAAAAGCGCAACTTAGGCTTCAGTGCCAAATGTAAATTTAAATGTATTTTACGTTGGTCACGTCCTCCCTGACTGTGTTATAATTTAGTGGGAAGGATGCTGTATTTGGGATGGACATGAAAGAAGCAAGACATGCAGCCCAATGCATGGGTTGGGACGCAGCTCATTGGGAGAGGGGGGAAGCAATGTCTCTTCCCCTGCCTACCATTCTCCACTCAGACTGCAAGAGACCTGAATAGCAGCGGTGCCGGTGAGTCTCAGCCACCCATGGGGCCCCCAGTGGAGGCAGCACGCTGAGCTATATGCAGAAAAGCTTGCGTTTTTGCGTGGGCTTTATGTGCAGTGAGCCAGAGGGGTCAGGGGCAGGCAGGCAGCTCCTGCCTCAACAGGCAGCAATGCCAGGCACTCTCAGGATGGCTGAGTCAGGGCAGCAAGAGCATGGAGCTGTGATGTCCTGGGGCAGCAAGGAGGGGAGGGCTGAGTGCTTCTGCTGTGTGGAGAAACCTGCAAGCTTGGAGCCAGGTGCAGGGCAGCCTGTGGGCTTTCCCAGCATCATGCTCCCAAGCTTGGCTTCATGGGCTACTGGAGTCCTTATGGACAGAGTCAGCGCCACACCATCTTGGCTTGCCAGTGTGGACATGTTGGAGCCACTTCTGGGCCTTGATGTGAAGATGAGGAACTGGAAGAAAGACAGAGAGGATCATGGCTTGGGAATGAGCCCTGGGAAACAGATAGGTGCCATTTCGCATGAGGGGCTGGAACAGGATGCTGGGAGGGCCAGGAGAGTAGAGGTCATGGTCTCTTCTGGTGAGAATGGTGTTCAGGGCTGGCATCAAGAACCAATGATCAGTTTATCCAAAAGACAGTGTTTGATTCAGCACAGCTAGGTGGAGAGACCTCTGGCAGAGCTTTGTCCCACCACTGTCCATTCCTTGGCTGCTGCCCTTCCAGCAACCTCCCCAGGAGTTGAAGGATACCAGTCTGAGTGGCTCTGCGTGGTACTGCCCAGCCTGGGGCTGTTTGTTGGTTCCCCACAAACCACAGGAGCAAGCCAAAGAAAGGCCACTGCCAAAAGCAGAGAGAACTGCATGATTTAGATTATCTGTGGCAGTTGGGAACAGGGGAGAGCAGCACCAGAATACAGCTGCTGTATGGCCTGATTCCCTGGGTGCATGAGGTAGAGGTGGGCTCTTCCTCCAAATGCTTCTCTACCTTGATAAACATCTTAGCAGGCCGGTGGCATGGCTGTGTGCACAGAGCCCCGCTGAAACCCACGTCAGATCCTGCAGTCCTGCAAAAGAGAAGTGACTCATGCTGGCACTGCGGGCCTTGGGCATCTCTTGAGTGCAGTCATGGTGTTGTGTTGGGTTTTGAACGTAAATGAGGGAGGAGATGTCGGGAGATTGACAGCTTTTACTGGATTGGATGTTACGGGTGGAGAAAACAAAGTGAACTTTTGTCCATA